ACAGCAGGAAAATCCATTCATCATTCTTTTGAGTTCCAGATCAACATCAACAGCAGCTACTGGATATAGTCCAACACAACTCCTGTTGAGAAGACAACTAGGAGGTTCTTTTCCAAAGTTGCAACAGTAGTTTTCTCCAAAGTGGCCAAACAGAGAGAAAGAGAGAGTAGCTAAATTGGATAAATATAGTAAAAGAACTTACAAACACTTTTACAACCGATTTCAGTCACTTGGAAATCTGCCATGGGTAGGTGACTTGGTGACTGTGTTCATGTCATATTGGATGGAGACAAAGGATGGACAACCTCAGCATCCATAAGGAGAAAGAATTCAACATCCAAATCATATGTGAGAATGACCATGGGGAGTTCTATAGAAACTGTTAACATCTACAGTTTGTTTCTCAGAAAGAATAATCAACAGAGCAAACTCCACAGATAGCAGAGGCACAAAAAGAAGACGACAACTTTAGGATTCCAAACTAACTGCAGACAGTCATTTTAGCAAACAAACAGCTCAATGGTCTAAATACATGATCTGTTTGTGTCATGTAATTAGAAAACCAGTACAATTCAGAGAAATTTAACCGATTGGTGTGTAATGAACTTAAATGATAGTGTAATAGTGTAAATTATAGTGTAATAACCATTCCATTTATTTTCTTCTTGAAGTACTCCTCCTTTGAAATATGCAGTTGATAGTTAATCTGGTTAATTTTGCCAACTTCCATAGATGATCTTCACCAATCATACCCATAATCTGAAAATGGAAAATGTAAGTACTACAGAAAACAGTCTTTCTGTTGTATAGCTAAACTTTTTTCCATTTGAAAACAACATTTAGTTCTTTTTGTTTTTCCAAATATAAAACAAAGCCATTATTACTTGGGGATACCATGAGAGCAGTGGTTTGGCAGGGAAAAAAGATATTTCTAAACAAGATCCCAGCAAGAGTATTTCTAGCCAGCGTTCAATTCTGGATCATATTATCCAAACCATTGAATTTCTGGGAGGTTTCCCTCTGGTGACTTGCATGTGCTTACGAACACAATATAAGAAACTCATCAAAATTGGCTTTGCTGTTGTTTTTCTCCATGCTATATATAATCTGACATGAAATATACAAAAAGTGTCTATGACAATAATGATTCCTACCTCTAGATGTAGTTTTAACACCATAGTTGCTGCTTCAGGTATAAAACTACACAGCTGTATTAAAACATTTGAGTGTGCATGAGGATGGTTCACCCCACACATTGAATTGTAGATCTAACCATTCTTCAGTGTGAACCACATTGGAACCTGTTAAATCATCTTCACAAATTTGATGTTACAGTCAGAGCTAATACTGAAATGCAAGCAGGCAAATCCTGCAGACTAAGAAATGTGGCAGGCCTAAAGTAACTGAGTGGTTTTACTTGTGCCATATTTGAAATGAAGAGTTGCATTCTGCCAGCAAGTCACAAAAAGTCAAACTACTCTGAAGATACAATGAATTCAAACCGCATATCCACAGTCAGAAAACGAAATACAATTCACTTTACTGTTTCAAAGTACCATTAAGATGCAGAATTAGAAACATCCATTTGTTATTCTTTTTATAGCAAGGCTGAGTGATTTGGAATTTTAGTCTATCCTTGCCAAAGACTGCTTAATTTTTGAACAAAAAGTTCTAAAATATAAAGTGCACAAAAGAGCTGACCATCAATTGGATACTAATCTTTATATTCTATGATGCATCACCCTAAGAATGCTGCCATTAACAATGTGAATTCTATTTTTCATAAATGATGGATTATTTTACCAAGCTTGTGTATTTTCCAATAAAGTGTTGTTTTATTTGTCCTCTGTGATTACTAGGTTGTGGAAGTATGTGTGGGGTCATTTTAGTGCTGTGGGAAAATGGAACACTCTTCTGTTAAAATCAGTAGTGAAATCAGAAGCAAACTATGCTCTGATTATCATAGGCATGTGTTTAAATGTTGCTTTCCTTAATTGGCTATGGTTGTATTTACTTAAAATGAACAATTTGGCAAGTTTTGCTCCCTTGACAACAGCAAAGCGTAAACCGTTTTATAAGGTTGGCTGTTAAAATCAGATTTGTAATATAAACCACATTATCCCAGGATTTTGTACTGTTCCTTAAGAGGACCCTTTAAATCATCGCTGTTTTATAGCTGTGCACCTTTTAGCATTCTGTTTTTATTGATAACTTATGTGAAACTGCTTGTGACAAAACCTAGCGTAATCTATACCATGATTTCTCCCTATAATGGTTTTCTCAGATCCGTGTAGTAAGGACTGCTGCATCGTGGGGGAGAATTCATGTGGGGGGTAGATATGTACATGTATAACCACACTGCTACAGAAGTTGTACAAGGAGAGAGGCCCTGAATGCTTCATAGAAGCCCTGCCTCTGGAGCACTGGATTATCCCTGCTAAATCAGCACACAAAGGAAAACGTAAACTTGTGGATTTCCCCTTCTCCATACAGAATTGGGGATCAGCTACCTTTTCTAGTGAGCAGTTCTGTGAGGCATGCTCTCTGCAGCCCAAGGTCAATAAAAGGAATGAGATGGAGACTGAGTGGACCAAAGGACAGATACTATCCCACTCCAGCCCTGCAGATCATAGTTCACATTAGGAATTGTGTTAAATCCCATGCAGGGGCTCAGGGCTGAGAGATCCCCTGAAGTTACTGGGGCCACCAGGAAAGAGACCCTCCCTTCCAATCCCAGCAGGGAGAAGCCATGGCCAGTGGAGGAAAAATACTTCCCGTGAGCCCCAGCATGGAATTGCTGCAATCTGCCCATGGAAGGGAGCCCCTCTCCGCTGGCCCTAGCATAGAGCTGCCATGGCTCACAGAGGGGAGTCCCTCTCCTATTGCCCCAGCACAGAGCCACCCAAGTAAACCCAAGCCGCAACTCCCTCCCCAACTTTGAGCCCTCTTAGCCCCGAGAACCCTCTTGTATACAAAAGCCCTCATCCCCAGCCCCACCTCAAGACCCATATCTCCAGTCCAACAACTGTACCCCCTCCTGGATGCCAGCCCCCAGCCTAGACCTTCCTGCTCTGCAGCTACTAACCCAGAGCCTCTTATACCCCAATACCTGTCCTTTCCCAAACTTGGAGCTCTCTCCTGGACCCAAAACCCCTTATACTCAGCTCCACCCCAACCAAAGACCTTACACTCCTGCACCCCAGTCCTCTGCCCCAGGCCTGAGCCACCTCCCACACTCAGAACACCTTAACCCCAATCCTGCCACTTGCATTTTGTTATATGAAGGTGTGTATTGGTGCACATAAGAAAACTCATTCTGTTCTGGAGTGGAAAAAATTAGAGGGAAAGCTGCTGGAGATCTTACTAGAAAAGATTGTATGGGTTCTTGCTGTATAATGTGCTCTTCGCACCCCTGCAGATGACTTAATGACTGGCAGCACCAGGGCACAGGGAAACTGGAAAAGGGGCAACAAATCTATAATTCTGGGCTGCCTCATATCTCGTAGGATATGTGAGGTTCAGAAATCCTCACAAAGATTTCCTCACACAGAATCCCCACTTGATAATTTAAACACAAGATGGAAAAATATAGCCATATAAGCATGCTGAATGCTGAAAGTAGGGAATATTTTGATGTCCTGGCTATACCTCCTCTCATCAGTACTGCTCATTTTGGGGGCAGTGATTTTTCTCTGTGGAGATCCCAGCAGACAACATTTTATAGCCCACTTGCATCATCACAGCTTGCTCCTGTGGAATCTCAGGAGGTGGGCTCCGCATCTTGCTGGAATAAACCACAACAGAACTTAGCCCAAAGGCTTCTCTGTGCAATAAATACCTAAATATAATAAAACGTAGCTGTTAGATTTGGAACACTTTTTCTTCCATAAATTAGTACATCTTGCATATTTTCTTGTCAGTAAGCCATGATTTCTGCAACTGTATTAGCAATAGTGGAATGCCTCATCTGACTTGGCAAGAGGATTCGGACCATCACCAATGCTGTGACCCCCCCATCCCATCTCATAAAAATGGTATACCATTAATAATATTTAGCACACTTCCAATTGGAAGTTTCAGTTGAATAGTAGTCCAAATGAATGTCTTGAGATTCATGGAACGTTTCATAAGTAAATAGTGCCCATCCGAATATTTGCAAATAATAAATAACATGACTCTACAGATAACACCAAGTGAACGCATCATGTTTTATCTCACAAATGTTAATCAAACTCTTTGTACTATCCTACCAGCTATCTTGCTGACCTACTATATTATTAAGGGTAGACATAGTTATTGTTTTAAGAACATAAGAACAGCCATACTAGGTCAGACAAAGTCAGTCTAGCCCATTATCCTGTCTTCCAACAATGACCAATACCAAGTGCCCCACAGGGAAGGAACAAAAGAGGTAATCATCAAGAAATTCCTCCACTGATGCTCATTCCCATCCCCTGACAAACAGAGGCTAGGGACACCATTTCTACCCATCCTGACTAATAAGCATGAATGGACTTATCCTTCATGAATGCATCTAGTCCTTTTTTAACCCTGTTAAAGTTCTGGTCTTTACAACATCCTCTGGTAAGGGGTTCCACAGATTGACTGCGTTACATGAAGAAAAACTTCCTTTTGTTTGTTTTAAACCTGCTACCTATTAATTCCATTTGGTGACCCCTAGTACTTATGTTGTGGGAACAAGTAAATCCCTTTTCCTTATTTAGTTTCTCCAAACTGATTATGATTTTATAGACCTCTACCATGTCCCCCCTTAATCTCCTCTTTTCTAACCTGAAAAGTCTCAGTCTTTTTAATCTCTCTTCATATGGCAGCCATTCCAAACCCCTAATTATTTTGTTGCCCTTTTTTGAATTTTTTCAATGCTAAGATGTCCTTTTTGAGATGAGATGATCACATCTGTATGCAGTATTCAAGAACATGTATTGTTATTTTTAAAAATGTAGTTTTACTAGAAATGTAGTTTTTCTTTTTTTTCTCAGTTTTCAGACTGAACTACAGTGCCTCTGATACAAATGACAGAAATCGAGTCAAAAGCAGATTAAAGAAGTTTATAACCCGAAGACCTTCACTGAAAACCTTGCAAGAAAAGGGACTGATTAAAGGTGTGTTCCTTATCTATTTTTTCGGAGTAAAACTGAAAGTTCATTAATGACAGTTACTGTTTCACAATATTCTCATTCCTGTCATCAGTTAAAAGCATAGGACCATTTGGATTGCATAGCAATTTCTGGCTAGATATTTTTCTGTGTATTGGTAAGCTCTCAGGAACTATCTTTTTCAAACTGTAGGTACTGTTATCCTGTAACTGGAGTATTCTGGCCACCAATGGTCAAGCAAGACCATATTTTTAAATATCTTCTGGAATTGTGCATGAAAAATTTGCACACTCACCAATAAGTATGTAAAAAAACTGCAACTGTATATGCAAACCAGCTAGATATGTTGGGATTTTTTGTTTGTTTGTTTGTTTTTGGTTTGTTTGGGGGGCGGGTTGCCACAAGGCTTTGGCACCCATTTAGTGCCCGCAATCCTGAGTCAATAGCAGGGCTTGAAGTCACTGTGAGTTAGAGTCAGAGGGGTTAATTTTACCACCTTTGCCCAGGATCAAGGGGCTGGCAGAAAGCTGCCTTCACTCAGCCCTCCAAACAGACACAAAGCAGTGAAATATTATAGGCCAGATTTGAGGCCCTCACAACCATGTGCACATAAATTCTTGACTATTTTGGGAGAGATTTTTAAAAGTGCCTAAAGCATTTAAGAGAACTGAATCTTGATAAGATTTGAGATTTGTGACAGTTTTCTTTCACTATTTGATCTGAGGAAGTGGGTCTGGCCCACGAAAGCTCATCACCTAATAAACCATCTTGTTAGTCTTTAAAGTGCTACATAGTCCTGTTTTTTTTAATAAGATTTGTGATTCTAGATCCTGTAGACAGTTTTGAAAATCTCCCCCTACATACACCTCAGGTATTTGCAAATATGCATATTTATATGTATACTTGTGTGTGCCTAACTTTCAGAATCTGTTCCTAATCACCTATTGTATCTCAGTTTTGATGTTACTTTAATGCACAGTTTGAGTTAAGAGTGGGATTTGAGTACATCATTTTAGTTTGTTTCAATTATTATGGTATCAGAGAAGAAGCTTGAGTTGTAATTTATAGTCTTTTAATTTCTGCATTTAAGACTTTTTTCCAGTTTAATAAAGTGTAGCTGATGAATCTCCTGTGGCGTTACACAGGGATCAGATGTGATCCCTACTAGCAAATCCAGATTCATTAGCATAACTCAAATCCATCCTCTAATGTATCTCTCTAGGAAAACCAGATGCATTTGTTTTCAGATAGAGTTGCATTAGACTCCTGATTCTCTAACATAGCCTGGTTCTAATTGGGATGTTCTTGTATGGAAAACCCAGTTGAATTATGTTCTGTCATAGTCAGGATCTGCATTCCCTAGCAGAGTTTTAATAATAAACTAATGTAACTGTACAGAAAACATGTTAGTTTTCTTCCAAGAAGATTCATTAGGATTTGGTTCTGGCCATGCAAATGAGTCAGGATTCCTTAGCAGAGCTTAATTCCAATCTACAGTAAGTCTATGTGAAATGCTCATTTGATAAGGTTCCTTCATTGTCTTCCATGCAGTTTATCCCTTAATCTGTTATAATGTTATGAAAATGCAGTTGTGGTGCTTATAGACAGACCACTTTTAAATGTTAATTTTTAGGCTCATATTAAAATATTTTAAATAGCAAATTGCAAGTATCCAGATTAAAAATAAATGGTTTACAAATTTCATGTTTTAAAATGCATTTTTCCCTAAAGGTGAATTAAATGGCTATAGGAACATTGCAAAACTCTATATTTGCTGTAATCTTGGAGGCGGGGGAAGAGGGGGAGATGTAGAACAATTTGTACAAGAAATTCCTCCAACTCTGGGAACATGCATACTAACTTTAATCCCAGGGGGGAATACATCTGTCAGAATTATAAATCCCTTAAAATAATTAATTCTTTCAATAAAAGTACATCTACAGCCTTGCAGGACATCACAGTGCCAAACTTATAGTACAAGCCGTTCTATGGGATAGTGAAGAATTGATATAAATATCTGTGAAGCATGTGGTGATAATTACACCAAAGCAGTGGCACTGTAGGTGCTATAAAAACCTTCACTTTTCATCAAGTGCCATTCATATTTGCCAGGAGCACTAGAAAGCTTTCAAATCTATATGGATTTTTTACTTTGTCTGTCACAAAACTCCAATAAATTTAACACATAAATTATAAGCAAGAGTGAATACATTTTAAAATATGAAGTTAACTTAAATGTAGTCAGTCCTCTTCTCGGTCACTGATGTGTGCACTCTTATCCAAAGGACATTTTTCAAAACTTGCTTCAAAATTATTTTTTTCCCTTTGGGTATTTTGATCCATACAATTATTAGAAAAGTCTGAAGTTTATATTATTGTCATTTACACCTTCACATACACATGGATTTTAAAAATAAAAATAAGGTCCACCATACTGAAATGCGCACACACTAAACCATGTACTTCAGTATCATCTAATTATTTGGGTACTAAGGGACAGATTTTTAAAGGTATTTAGGTCCATAAAGATGCAGATAAGCATTTAATGGAATTTTCAAAGGTACGTAGGCAACTGGATCAATGGAGCATAGAAATATAGACAGTTTTGAAAATCCTCTAGGCCTCTAATAATACATGTAGGCACCCAGTAACCACTGAAAAACTGGGCCTATATATCTATCTGTGCAGAAGTATTTAATTTCTTATGGAAACCTTAAATAATTAATTACTTTAAAATGATATGGAGCCTGATTACATTCCTAGAACTATTTGTTATTTTAAAGTTTTCTCTAATATGAGTTGTTCCTCAGGGAGGTAGACTTTAGTGTTTGCAAGATTAGGCCATAATGATTTCATTCAATGAAAAAAAAATTATATATATATATATATGTGTGTGTGTGTGTGTGTGTGTTAAAACTGTAAATGAGGATTGTCAGTTCTAAAATTTCTACTTTTTGTTTATTTCATATAATATTTAGTAAAGAAAAGTATTGTAATAATATTATAGGCATTATTTAAAGTAACATGTACCTAATAAATTTTTGTTACATTATTAATTTAATCAATATCTATATATGAACAACAATGTTGTATAACTGAATAAAGAGCCTTTTTTGCAGCTTTGCCACTTTATCAGTGTTACTTCAGGAGTAATTTTACTCAAATGACTTATGTCTGGCTCTTCTGTGACTTGGGATTGAAAAATTCTCAGAATTTACGGAATCTACACTAATTGTGCTAGATAAAAACTGTATTTTCTCTTTTGAAACTAATGTTGCTTCACGGTTGAACTGTGATCCTCACATTTGAACTTTGTTATGTTTTATACCGTCCATAATTAGTCTCCAGCCTTCAACATTATATCAGTTTACTAGATTCCTGGGTTCTGAGCATTTATGTTATGAATTTACTACTACCTCTGGGTATGTCTACACTACAAAGTTAGTTCGAACTAACGGATGTTAGTTCGAACTAACTTTAATAGGCGCTACAGTAGCGCTCCGCTAGTTCGAATTTAATTCGAACTAGCGGAGCGCTTAGTTCGAACTAGGAAAACCTCATTTTACGAGGATTAAGCCTAGTTCGAACTAGCTAGTTCGAATTAAGGGGTGTGTAGCCCCTTAATTCGAACTAGTGGGAGGCTAGCCCTCCCCAGGTTTCCCTGGTGGCCACTCTGGCCAACACCAGGGAAACTCGTCTGCCCCCCTCCCGGCCCCGGAGCTCTTAAAGGGGCACAGGCTGGCTACGGTGCCCGTGCCAGGTGCAAGCCTGCCAGCAC